CCGGATGAAGATTAAGAGTGTGATTTTTAAAAGGGGTAAACCAAATTTAGGGATTAAATAACCCTTTGGAAAAAAGTAAAATTTTGCCCAATTTTAAAGAAACCCCTTTCGGGGCCCGGGGGTGGGTAGGGCCTGGAAAATGCCCAAAGTGTGAGGAGAGGCCCCAGTAAAAATTAATCAATTTTTAATTAGAATTTAATTTTTTAAAAAAAATAAATTTTTTATATAAAATATATATAATTTTTTTAAAAACAAAACCTGGTTTAATTTAATTGGTTTATTTAATTTTTTTATTTCACCTTTATTTAACCAGGTAAACCAGTTGAGAACAAGTTCTCATTTACAACTGCGACCTGACCAAGATAAAGCAAAGCAGTGCGATAAAAACAACAACACAGAGTTAGATATGGGGTAAAACAAAACAAAGTCAAAAATACAACAGAAATACATATAATATACAGTGTGCAAATTTAGCAAGTTATGGAGGTAAGGCAATAAAATAGGCTATAGTGCAAAATAATTACAATTAGTATTAACACTGGAATGATAGATGTGCAAGAGATGATGTGCAAATAGAGATACTGGGGTACAAATGAGCAAAATAAATAACAATATAGGGATGAGGTAGTTGGGCGGGCTAATTTCAGATGGGCTGTGTACAGGTGCAGTGATCGGTAAGGTGCTCTGACAACTGATGCTTAAAGTTAGTGAGGGAGATAAGTGTCTCCAGCTTCAGAGATTTATGCAATTTGTTCCAGTCATTGGCAGCAGGTTTAACTTGGCTTTACAAAAGCAAATACATATTTTTTGATAGTGAAAGCGCATATGCCTATAGGTTTGCTGCATGCAAAGACCAATTATTTGTATTTAACCAGGTAAATTATTTTTTATTTAACCAGGTACAGTATTTCACGTTTATTCAACCAGATCGGTTTAATTGAGATGAAAATGTAATAACTTATTCAATCGTTTTTTCTCTTGTTAAAACAGACAGAGCAAAACAGTTAGGCTAATCTCACGCAAGCAACCTATAGCCTACAGAAATGAACGACAGGTGATTTTCGCCACACGCCGGCTACTTTCCATGATATTGTAAAACTTTGTTCCTTAAAACAGTACAAAACAATTGATCTCAAACAACATATAGCCTAGCCTAAAGTCGCATGCAGGCTACAAACACCCGTAGTCTACTACGGCCACTCCACATGCTTTTTTTGATAGCAAAGTTTTTGATCCCCAAGTTGAAGATGCTGGAGGAAACTGCACATGAGGTTATTCAGGCAACCAAAGAGCTCATTATGACTTTGGGCCTTGAGAGCAGAGCCGGAGCCGTAGGTCCCCCCACTGATGAAGAGCCAAGATCCTCACATCCAAATAGCTCAAAAGTCACATACCATGAGTTCTCCGGCTTGGAGGATGGAGCAGATATCATTACGCCCAAGTCAAAACTTGGACCCCAGTTTAACAAGCAGACCCAGCGCTGTTCTGTTGTGGTGGCAGGCACAGAGATTTCAGTTCTCTGCGCTCAGCAAGCTTGCCCGCCAGGTCCTCAGCATCCCGACTTCCAGTGCCCCCTCCCAGTGGGCGCTCAGTGTGTGTGGCCATATTTTTTTGGAGAGACGCTCCACGCTAAAGCCCTCCTCTGTGAGTGACATCCTCTTTCTCTATGGGCATTTAAAGGGATGGATAAAAGGCCTATGGCCTACAGTATGCACTGGGTTCGTTTCATTAAAAAGTGCCTTTGTGTTTTAGCTCTGTTGGGCTATACAGTGCATTCGGAAAGTATTCAGAGCCCTTGACTTCTTCCACATTTTGTTACGTTACAGCCTTACTCTAAAATTGATTAATTATTTTATTTGTTTCATGAATCTACACACAATACCCCATAAGGACAAAGCAAAAACAGTTTCTTTTTTTAAGTTTTTGCAAATTTATAAAAAAACTAAAACTGAAATATCACATTTACATAAGTATTCAGACCCTTTGCTATTAGACTCGAAATTGAGCTAAGGTGCATCTTGTTTCCATTGATCATCCTTGAGATGTTTCTACAACTTGATTGGACATGATTTGGAAAGGCACACGCCTGTCTATATAAGGTCCCACAGTAGACATTGCATGACAGAGCAAAAACCAAGCCATGAGGTCGAGGGAATTGTCCGTAGAGCTCCGAGACAGGATTGTGTCGAGGCACAGATCTGGGGAAGTGTACCAAAACATTTCTGCAGCATTGAATGTCCCCAAGAACACAGTGGCCTCCATCATTCTTAAATGGAAGAAGTTTGTAAACACCAAGACTCTTCCTAGAGCTGGCCACCCGGACAAACTGTGGCAGTGGCACTGCGAGGCTGCGTGATAGCGAAGCCTAGTCAGACTGGCCTGCTTGTTCTTACAGGCGAAATGAAATGATACATATCCACATCGCTCATGCTGTGAGACACTCCAATAATTAAACAAATGTAACAGAAAGTCCATCACTGTCTGCACAACACAGCTTGCCATCCCAGCTAAATAACATTTTAAATCTGATAGATGTGCAGAAAGAACAGAGAGAAGCAGCTGCTGGTTAGGGGATGCGGCTGGCTGATCACAGCAGTCACACGTGATACTGGATGAAGCACTCATTCTGATATGATATATCTGACATCATGCTCTGAACTCTGTTTGATATTCTATTTGTAGGACGTGTAGGGATGCATTATATACTCAGTCATTCATTTCGAGAGAGAAGGTAATGATTACACAGGGAGAAGAGCTGTTTGCGCCTCTCTTTTACAGCTCAATGGGTGATACACTCTGCATACATTGTCAGACCCCCCCCCCCCCCCCCACACACACACACTTTTACAGATCTACAAGATTCACGTGGATGATCTGTTTTGAGATCAAAACTATGAATATCACCAAAAGTGACAAGTTAGCATCCCTGAAGTATAAATTACCAAAGTTCCCATAGATTACCTGTTAATTACCAAAATGACCAAAGATTCCAGTAACTTTGGTAAATTACTGGTAGCTTTGCAACCATATCGACCAATTATTTAAAAAATATATACTTTAATTTCCCGAAATAAATACAAAATGACAAGACCCGGGAAATTGCAACATTCCCCCCAATGTCGCACTAATGCAATTCCACAAAATACACAACATGCGCAGCAGCAGATTAGCAAAAACATTTATAGCACGTTATTCTAACAGGTTGTTGCATGGAAGCCTTTAGCATAGCGTATTTACGTCACATAAATTCAAAGCACACACATAATTGCCACTGCCAGAGTGCACACGCAACCCGAATGCAGTTAATAAACCATTCAGGAAACCCCTACAGTATAGCCTATAAAATAACGTGTGCCTCTTTGAGCTGTCATTGTGACTCTTCAGACAGTCACAAATTTGATAGGCCTATGCAAAATTCACTACATAGGCATCTCTGTCACAGACATGATGTCCGTTAACAATTTAGAGAGGCATGAGGGAAAATTCTACCTTCTCCTGTCCTAGAGCCTAGGCTATTTTCCTATCCAGTCCAAATCCCAATGAAACTCAAAATCCTGACTTGAATCTGTAATCCTTAGGTTGCATTATCAAAGCACACGTCTCTCGCCTAAGCACGTCAAAATACTGCTATAACATTTTCCCCGCTGTGTCGTACTTGCTGCCCATATGAGAACTTTGGTAGAAAATGTGTTATCAACAAACGGTACGAGAGTAGATATGGTTATTTTTTAAACAGAGTTGGTCTCTGTTAAGATACCTTCATATTTAAAACTATTTCCACTCTTGATCTCCCCGTTATTCATGAGCGGATCTGCCAAAAATGGGAGATATTCTGTCTTTAGTTGAAGGAGGTTATCTAGCAAGCTTAGCAACTTTGGTCATTTGACTTTTGACTGCAGTTACAAAGTTTGTACGATTCGACAACGCTATACTCGGGGTGCGCTCTGTGCGCCCTGAACTCGCTCAGTGTCGAGATAGCCATACTGATGAAATGCGCTTAATTAATTGAACGGCCTGTTTCGCAATACACAACGATGTCATTGGCGATCAAAAATGGTTATGCCATCATTACTGAGTATATGTTTATTTTGCTCTGTGATATGAGGTTTTTATAGTGTAATGATGTCATGTTATAGTATTGTGTGGACCAGGGAAGAGTTACTAGATAAGTGATTTGGTTCCACTAAGTCTGCATTCCTTATGTCAAAGGAGATTACTGAGGTTGATATTAGAATAATTGATTTGACAGGATATAACTTGGGGTAAGGGTGATGAACATCAAAGACAGGGAGTGCCCATGGAGACTCACCAGATGTATGCCAAGAAGAGGGTAACAGAAGGTATATAAGGTAGTGTCTCTCCTTTGTTCAAGTTAGTTCGTAACACCAAGGGCAAAGCTCTGGTCATTGATGTAACGAACCCGGTACCGATCATTAAACATTTGCATTAACTGTCTACAAAGTGTCTAAGTATATCCTTGCATCCTTGATTCTTTGATACCCGAGAAACTCATCATAACACTCTGAAATCTTTATATTGTGGCGCAGCGCCCCTCTTATTTAGGGAGAAACCTGGCATAGTGAATTTATATAGGTCTTAAAATGGGCACTTAAATGAATTATTCCCGGTATAGAAATGTTTTAGATATTCGGGAAAATATTAATCCCTACTACATAGTTTACTCTGGTTATAAAGTGATGCCATGAACTCAATATTGAGAGGTGAGAAATCAATTATATACTCACAGAAAGCTGTGAGTAATCAGTCTTTTTCCTGCAATTGCAGAATGCATCTCTCCCTCCTCCGCTCACACAGCAGCCGACAGCGAAACAGGGACAGGCAGACAGGTTTGTAAATTATTTTATTTCAGTTTACTAAATATTTTTTTCATTTTAGTTCCAGTTTTAGTTTACTATAATAACCTTGGTGCTCACCTCAAACAAGATTGCTAAGAGCATGGCTGTGGATCATATGAGCTGTAGGCTCTCCCTATTGACAGGAGCAGTGGACAGGTCGGGATCGGTCACCTTCACAGCCAGATAGAGGGTCTCATGGTTCAGCTCAAAGTTCTCCTGCAGAATCATAGTGTCAAGACACACTTCTCAAGTTCTCCAGCATGCACAGAACCAGTGTCAAACGGACTTCTCACTTTCATCCCAACACTCACTCTTATTTGAACTACCTTCAAAAAGGTTGATTTCGCTGTAACACTTCATTTACATTTTCAGTATTATAGGCATACTGCATTGTATAGTACAGTTGAAGTCGGAAGTTTACATACACTTAGGTTGGAGTCATTAAAACTAGTTTTTCAACCACTCCACAAATGTCTTGTTAACAAACAATCGTTTTGGCAAGTCGGTTAGGACATCTACTTGTGCATGACACAAGTAATTTTTCCAACAATTGTTTACAGACAGATTATTTCACTTATAATTCACTGTATCACAATTCCAGTGGGTCAGAAGTTTACATACACTAAGTTGACTGTGCCTTTAAACAGCTTGGAAAATTCCAGAAAATGATGTCATGGCTTCTGATAGGCTAATTGACATAATTTGAGTCAATTGGAGGTGTACCTGTGGATGTATCTCAAGGCCTGCCTTCAAACTCAGTGAGTGCCTCTTTGCTTGACATCATGGGAAAATCAAAAGAAATCAGCCAAGACCTCAGAAAAAATATTGTAGACCTCCACAAGTCTGGTTCATCCTTGGGAGCAATTTCCAAACGCCTGAAGGTACCAAGTTCATCTGTACAAACAATAGTACGCAAGTATAAACTAGGGACCACACAGCCATCATACCGCTCAGGAAGGAGACGCATTTTGTCTCCTAAAGATGAACGTACTTTGGTGCGAAAAGTGCAAATCAATCCCAGAACAACAGCAAAGGACCTTGTGAAGATGCTGGAGGAAACAGGTGCAAAAATATCTATAACCACAGTATAACAAGTCCTATATCAACATAACCTGAAAGGCCGCTCAGCAAGGAAGTAGCCACTGCTCCAAAACCGCCATAAAAAAGCCAGACTACGGTTTGCAACTGCACATGGGGACAAAGATCATACTTTTTGGAGAAATAACCTCTGGTCTGATGAAACAAAAATAGAACTGTTTGGCCATAATGCGCATCGTTATGTTTGGAGGAAAAAGGGGAAGGCTTGCAAGCCGAAGAACACTATCCCAACCGTGAAGCACGCGGGGTAGCAGCATCATGCTGTGTGGGTGCTTTGCTGAAGGAGGGACTGATGCACTTCACAAAATAGATGGCATCATGAGAAAGGAAAATTATGTTGAAATATTGAAGCAACATCTCAAGACATCAGTCAGGAAGTTAAAGCTTGGTCGCAAATGGGTCTTCCAAATGGACAATGACCCCAAGCATACTTCCAAAGTTGTGGCAAAATGGCTTAAGAACAACAAAGTCAAGGTATTGGAGTGGCCATCACAAAGCCCTGACCTCAATCCTAAAGAAAATTTGTGGGCAGAACTGAAAAAGCGTGTGCAAGCAAGGAGGCCTACAAACCTGACTCAGTTACACCTGCTCTGTCAGGAGGAATGGGCCAAAATCCACCCAACTTATTGTGGGAAGCTTGTGTAAGGCTACCCGAAACGTTTGACCCAAGTTAAACAATTTAAAGGCAATGCTACCAAATACTAATTGAGTGTATGTAAACTTCTGACCCACTGGGAATGTGATTAAAGAAATTAAAGCTGAAATGAATAATTATCTCTACGATTATTGACATTTCACATTCTTAAATAAAGTGGTGATCCTAACTGACCTAAGACAGGGAATTTTTACTAGGATTAAATGTCAGGAATTGTGATAAATTGAGTTTAAATGTATTTGGCTATGGTGTATGTAAACTGTATTAATGTAGTAGCAAGTATACCGATTTCCTCACCTGCACCTCAACCAGCCAGTCTACCAGGATGGCCCTCATCCCAGGGTTCAGACCCGGCTGGATGGGCATGTAGTAAGCCAGGATGAACTTAACCTCTTTGGCCTTGAGGTAGTTAAAGATCTCCTTGACGTACTCAGCAGTCAGACACCCAGCACCAGGATGACCCCGCTCTATGTCAAACTCCTCAGGGATCTGACAGAGAAACACAGGGCCACAGTGAGTAATAGCGCTATTGACAAACCTCTTCAAACCTAACCAGGTGTAGCAAGCCTGTTTTGGCAATTGTAACATTAGAGCATTTCTGATCAAGTAAATGACAGATCTTTATGTGTGTGACCAAAATGATTTTGTTTAAGGTTAGCGACATATTTAAGAAGTGATTCCACACTGGCAAGTACCCTTTTTGATTTTGCTTATTTTTAGACATATTGTTTGGCACAATATACTCTTCAAACACATCACATTTCCAGAGTGGACTCATTGCTACTTTTGAATAAATTATAAAATTGACATTAAAAGGTTATTAACCAATCATAGCTCTCCTGTAGGATTGCACATTCAGCAAATCACCAGCAGAGGGAGATCCCTTTGAATAAATGTTCAAAAGGGAGAATATCAATTGCATACTCCTCGCCTCTTTCTCAAAATTGATCATAACTTTTAATAATGGTAGAGACCACTGGAAATTTGACAATTTTTAGATCTTGCTTAAAACAATAACTAAATCAAAAAGGGTACTTTTGGGAGATTAATAGTTTTAATAGTAAATCAATTAATGTGTAAAATGTTATTTAAGAATGAAGCGCTACTTCATATTGTATAGCACACTATAAGGAGTATAATGACACAAAGATGCTGTCTATACAATGTACGGTTCACGGATCATTGGGTCTTCCAGCGGGCAAGTATACAGTTGAAGTCGGAAGTTTACATACACCTTAGCCAAATACATTTCAACTCAGTTTTTCACAATTCCTGACATTTAATCCTAGTAAAAATTCCCTCTCTTAGGTCAGTTAGGATCACCACTTTATTTTAAGAATGTGAAATGTCAGAATAATAGTAGAGAGAATTACTTATTTCAGCTTTTATTTATTTCATCACATTCCCAGTGGGTCAGAACTTTACATACACTCAATTTGTATTTGGTAGCATTGCCTTTAAATTACTTAACTTGGATCAAACGTTTCGGGTAGCCTTCCACAAGTTTCCCACAATAAGTCTAGTGAATTTTGGCCCATTCCTCCTGACAGAGCAGGTGTAACTGAGTCAGGTTTGTAGGCCTCCTTGCTCGCACACGCTTTTTCAGTTCTGCCCACACATTTTCTTTAGGATTGAGGTCAGGGCTTTGTGATGGCCACTCCAATACCTTGACTTTGTTGTCCTTAAGCCATTTTGCCACAACTTTGTAAGTATGCTTGGGGTCATTGTCCATTTGGAAGACCCATTTGTGACCAAGCTTTAACTTCCTGACTGATGTCTTGAGATGTTGCTTCAATATATCCCACATCATTTTCCATCCTCATGATGCCATCTATTTTGTGAAGTGCACCAGTCCCTCCTGCAGCAAAGCACCCCCACAGCATGATGCTGCCACCCCCTTGCTTCACGGTTGGCATGGTGTTCTTCGGCAATGGTCATTATGGCCAAACAGTTCTATTTTTGTTTCATTAGACCAAAGGACATTTCTCCAAAAAGTATGATCTTTGTCCCCATGTGCAATTGCAAACTGTAGTCTAGCTTTTTTATGGCAGTTTTGGAGCAGTGGCTTCTTCCTTACTGAGCGGCCTTTCAGGTTGTCGATATACGACTCGTTTTACTGTGGATATACAGTGGGGAGAACAAGTATTTGATACACTGCCGATTTTGCAGGTTTTCCTACTTACAAAGCATGTAGAGGTCTGTAATTTTTATCATAGGTACACTTCAACTGTGAGAGATGGAATCTTAAAAAAAATCCAGAAAATCACATTGTATGATTTTTAAGTAATTAATTTGCATTTTATTGCATGACATAAGTATTTGATCACCTACCAACCAGTAAGAATTCCGTCTCTCACAGACCTGTTCGTTTTTCTTTAAGAAGCCTCCTGTTCTCCACTCATTACCTGTATTAACTGCACCCGTTTGAACTCGTTACCTGTATAAAAGACACCTGTCCACACACTCAAACAGACTCCAACCTCTCCACAATGGCCAAGACCAGAGAGCTGTGTAAGGACATCAGGGATAAAATTGTAGACCTGCACAAGGCTGGGATGGGCTACAGGACAATAGGCAAGCAGCTTGGTGAGAAGGCAACAACTGTTGGCGCAAATATTAGAAAATGGAAGAAGTTCAAGATGACGATCAATCAACCTCAGTCTGGGGCTTCATGCAAGATCTCACCTCGTGGGGGATCAGCACAGAACTACACGGCAGGACCTGGTCAATGACCTGAAGAGAGCTGGGACCACAGTCTCAAAGAAAACCATTAGTAACACACTACGCCGTCATGTATTAAAATCCTGCAGCGCATGCAAGGTCCCCCTGCTCAAGCCAGCGCATGTCCAGGCCCGTCTGAAGTTTGCCAATGACCATCTGGATGATCCAGAGGAGGAATGGGAGAAGGTCATGTGGTCTGATGAGACAAAAATAGAGCTTTTTGGTCTAAACTCCACTCGCCGTGTTTGGAGGAAGAAGGATGAGTACAACCCCAAGAACACCATCCCAACCGTGAAGCATCAAGGTGGAAATATCATTATTTGGGGATGCTTTTCTGCAAAGGGGACAGGACGACTGCACCGTATTGAGGGGAGGATGGATGGGGCCATGTATTGCGAGATCTTGGCCAACAACCTCCTTCCCTCAGTAAGAGCATTGAAGATGGGTCTTCCAGCATGACAACGACCCGAAACACACAGCCAGGGCAACTAAGGAGTGGCTACGTAAGAAGTATCTCAAGATCCTGGAGTGGCCTAGCCAGTCTCCAGACCTGAACCCAATAGAAAATCTTTGGAGGGAGCTGAAAGTCCGTATTGCCCAGCGACAGCCCCAAAACCTGAAGGATCTGGAGAAGGTCTGTATGGAGGAGTGGGCCAAAATCCCTGCTGCAGTGTGTGCAAACCTGGTCAAGACCTACAGGAAACGTATGATCTCTGTAATTGCAAACAAAGGTATGTAAACTTCCGACTTCAACTGTAGGTCTAAAAAAGGGCCTAAAATTGCAATTTTAATCATGATTTTCAACAACAAAAAATGGTTTGTGTTAAAAATGTAAAAAGCATATCAAACATCCTTCTTCCGAAGGAAGTTAATGTGAGAATTGCCAGAACAATCTGATATACCAAAAATATTGTGTGGCCATGCTGGAATGGAATCGCTCTTCAATCAACTTCCAAAGTGTCAATGACAGAACCTTGCCCTGTAAAGGCTGATGAATGATGATAAAGTCAGCCATAAGCCATACCTGTGGTCTCTGTAGGTGGGGTGGGGTGTGGGGGCAACTCTCTAGGTGGAACAGCCTCCACAGCCACCAGCTCTTCCACTGGGGTCTCATCCTCCCCCCCATGTTTGTCCTCCTCCTGGCTTTCTGAGCTCACCGATTCAGACCTGGTAGGGAGAGGTAGGGAAGGGTTAGTAGTGTTTTATAATAAAGTATTGCTGAAACATGATGTACAGTGCCTTCGGAAAGTATTCAGACCCCTTGACTTTTTCCACATTTTGTTACATTTAAAAAAAATCCTCCTCTACAAACAAAAACCCATAATGACAAAGCCAAAATAGGTTTAGAAATGGTTGCAAATAGTTTTAAAAAAATGTTTTTATTGTTGCTAATTTATTTACAATAAAATACTGAAATATCACATTTACATAAATATTCAGACTCAGTACTTTGTTGAAGCACCTTTGGCAGCGATTACAGCATCGAGTCTTCTTGGGTATGACACTTCTCTGCAGATCCTCTCAAGCTGCACAGCTATTTTCAGATCTCCCCATAGATGTTCGATCGAGTTCAAAGTCCGGGCTCTGGCTGGGCCACTCAAGGACATTCAGAGACTTGTCCCGAAGCCACTCCTGCGTTGTCTTGGCTGTGTGCTTAGGGTCGTTGTCCTGTTGGAAGGTGAACCTTCAACCCAGTCTGAGGTCCTGAGCGCTCTGGAGCAGGGTTTCATCAAGGATCTCTCTGTAATTTGCTCCGTTCATCTTTGCCTCGATCCTGACTAGTCTCCCAATCTCTGCCCCTGAAAAACATCCCCACAGCATGATGCTGCCACCACCAAGCTTCACCTTAGGGATGGTGCCAGGTTTCCTCCAGACGTGACGCTTGGCATTCAGGCCAAAGAGTTAAATCTTGGTATTATCAGTCAGAGAATCTTGTTTCTCATGGTCTGAGAGTTTTTAAGTGCCTTTTGGCAAACTCCAAACGGGCTGTCATATGCTTTTACTGAGAAGTGGCTTCCGTCTGGCCACTCTACCATAAAGGCCTGATTGGTGGAGTGCTGCAGAGATGGTTGTCCTTCTGGAAGGTTCTCTCATCTCCACAGAGGAACTCCAGAGCTCTGTCAGAGTGACCACCGGGTTCTTGGTCACCTCCCTGACCAAGGCCCTTCTCCCCCGATTGCTCAGTTTGGCCAGGCAGCCAACTCTAGGAAGAGTCTTGGTGGTTCCAAACTTCTTCCATTTAAGAATGATGGAGGCCACTGTGTCCTTGGGGATCTTCAATGCTGCAGAAATGTTTTGGTACCCTTACCCAGATCTGTGCCTTGACACAATCCTGTCTCTGAGCTCTACGGACCATTTCCTTCGACCTCATGGCTTGGTTTTTGCTCTGACATGTACTGTCAACTGTGGCCAACTGTGGACCTTATATAGACAGGTGTGTGCCTTTCCAAATCATGTCCAATCAATTGAATTTACCACAGTTGGACTCCAATCAAGTTGTAGAAACATCAAGGATGATCAATGGAAACAGGATGCACTTGAGCTCAATTTTGAGTCTCGTAGCAAAGGGTCTGAATACTTACGTAAATAAGGTATTACAGTTTTATTTTGAATACATTTGCAAAATGTTCTAAAAACCTGTTTCCGCTTTGTCATTATGGGGTATTTATTGTGTGTAGATTGCTGAAAAAAAACAACAACTAAAAATCATTTTTTGAATAAGGCTGTAATGTAACAAAAAGTGGAAAATGTGAAGGGGTCTGAATACTTTCCAAAGGCACTGTATATTACGATCTCTCACAAAACTAATTTCCATTAAATGGACGATAAAGTATATCGTATTGTAATAAGATACGAGTGAGTGGTCAAGGAATTCAGTATCAGCATGGTCCTCTGTAGCTCAATTGGCACTGCAGAGCAGAAAATGTGGTGAGTAGTTGTAGTCCTCTGTAGCTTAATTGGTAGAGCATGGCACTTGTAACGCCAGGGTAGTGGGTACGAACCCCGGGACCACCCATACGTAAAAATGTATGCGCACATGACTAAGTCGCTTTGGATAAAAGCGTCTGCTAAATGGCATATTATTATAATATTTTTATTTAATTTCCCCTTAAAACACACACAATGAATCCCTCCATTTTGTATTTGGCTCTTTCACTCTATACACCACTCATTTTTTACTAGACCAGGACTGCCCAACCCTGTTCCTGGAGAGCTACCGTCCTGTAGGTTTTTGCTCCAACCCTAATCTAGCACACCTGATTCTAATAATTAGCAGGTTGATAAGATGGATCAGGTTAGTAACACCTGGGGTTGGAGCGAAAACCTACAGGAGGGTAGCTCTCCAGGAACAGGGTTGGGCAACCCTGGACTAGACCATTCTCCACAGCCCATCAAACTAAAGGGCAAGGTACAAGACTATTCTACTACCGAATAAAATACACCACAACGAGCCATGGTGCATTTAAATACAGCCAACACCATAAAAAGGCAGAACAGATCGATGGAGAGAGAAAAACAAGTGTGTTAACCTACTTTTTCAGGTTAGCCTCGTTCTTGGTGGTGGTGGTCTTCTTCTGTGTCTTCTTAAGGGAGTCTTTCTTCTTGGTTCCCGGAAGGCTGATGTGGACCTTGTGTGCCTGTAAGTGTGTGGAAGAGACTAGAGACTCAACAAGAGTCATTTCACATACTGTGCAGATAGGGCAGAATATTAACTTGAGATGGGCATGTGCCTTGCACAACTCATACATCTGATGCCAATCCCCTATTACAGTGAGTAATAGCACTCTATATACACCCATCACAAAACACCCAACTGCCAAACAAGACTGAAAGGCGGTATCAGTGCCCGTCCCTAGTAAACACCTCCAAACCTGGTAGAAGTCCCCCGTCTGCCCTCTGAACTTTACACTTGAGTACTGTACCCATAATTTTTTTGGTCCCGCTTTAAATGATATGAAGCTTTATGAAGGCTTCATAAAGGCTTCATGAACATTACCTAAATGTGTTACAAATAATCTATTACTATGTCATGCTTTATAAAGGGTTCATACATGTGGGATAACTGTGTGACATAAGCGCCAATGTCAAATGTGACATAACTCACTACGTCAAATATGACAAACCTGTGCTTTATAAAGGGTGGCATAAGCACCGCTTAATAAAGGCCTTATAAATTAAAATGAGGCGTCACAATGCATTTATAACCCTGGCATACATCTTGGTAGTGCATCGCAATGCGAAGATATTGGGTTCAATTCCCAGGACCACCCATATGTAAAAATGTATTCACGCATGACTAAGACGTTTTGGATAAAAGAGTCTGATATATACACACACACACAATTTATATATTTAAAGGGAACACTAAAATAACACATCCTAGATCTGAATGAATGAAATAATATTATTAAATACTTTTTTCTTTACATAGTTGAATGTGCTGACAACAAAATCACACAAAAATTATCGATGGAAATCAAATGTATCAACCCATGGAGGTCTGGATTTGGAGTCACCCTCAAAATTAAAGTGGAAAACCACACTACAGGCTGATCCAACTTTGATGTAATGTCCTTAAAACAAGTCAAAATGAGGCTCAGTAGTGTGTGTGGCCTCCACATGCCTGTATGACCTCCCTACAATGCCTGGGCATGCTCCTGATGAGGTGGCGGATGGTCTCCTGAGGGATCTCCTCCCAGACCTGGACTAAAGCATCCGCCAACTCCTGGACAGTCTGTGGTGCAACGTGGCATTGGTGGATGGAGCGAGACATGATGTCCCAGATGTGCTCAATTGGATTCAGGTCTGGGGAACGGGCGGGCCAGTCCATAGCATCAATGCCTTCCTCTTGCAGGAACTGCTGACACACTCCAGCCACATGAGGTCTAGCATTGTCTTGCATTAGGAGGAACCCAGGGCCAACCGCACCAGCATATGGTCTCACAAGGGGTCTGAGGATCTCATCTCGGTACCTAATGGCAGTCAGGCTACCTCTGGCGAGCACATGGAGTGCTGTGCGGCCCCCCAAAGAAATGCCACCCCACACCATGACTGACCCACCGCCAAACCGGTCATGCTGGAGGATGTTGCAGGCAGCAGAACATTCTCCACGGCGTCTCCAGACTCTGTCACGTCTGTCACATGTGCTCAGTGTGAACCAGCTTTCATCTGTGAAGAGCACAGGGCGCCAATGGCGAATTTGCCAATCTTGGTGTTCTCTGGCAAATGCCAAACGTCCTGCACGGTGTTGGGCTGTAAGCACAATCCCCACCTGTGGACGTCAGGCCCTCATACCACCCTCATGGAGTCTGTTTCTGACCGTTTGAGCAGAGACATGCACATTTGTGGCCTGCTGGAGGTCATTTTGCAGGGCTCTGGCAGTGCTCCTCCTGCTCCTCCTTGCACAAAGGCGGAGGTAGCAGTTCTGCTGCTGGGTTGTGGCCCTCCTACGGCCTCCTCCACGTCTCCTGACGTACTGGCCTGTCTCCTGGTAGCGCCTCCATGCTCTGGACACTACGCTGACAGACACAGCAAACATTCTTGCCACAGCTCGCATTGATGTGCCATCCTGGATGAGCTGCACTACCTGAGAAACGTGTGTGGGTTGTAGACTCCCATCTCATGCTACCACTAGAGTGAAAGCACCGCCAGCATTCAAAAGTGACCAAAACATCAGCCAGGAAGCATAGAAACTGAGAAGTGGTCTGTGGTCACCACCTGCAAAACCAGTCCTTTATTGGGGGTGTCTTGCTAATTGCCTATAAATTCCACCTGTTGTCTATTCCATTTGCAAAACAGCATGTGAAATGTATTGTCAATCAGTGTTGCTTCCTAAGTGGACAGTTTGATTTCACAGAAGTGTGATTGACTTGGGAGTTACATTGTGTTGTTTAAGTGTTCCCTTAATTTTTTTGAGCAGTATATATCTCAAATTGTATTTGTGACATGCGCCAAATACAACATTACCGTGAAATGCTTGCTTACAAGCCCTTAAAACACTCTTGGGTGCATGGTCAATATTGGAACAGATCTCAACTTCCCCCAAAATGGTTTATCCGTTTTGTTATAGAAAAACAAAATGTTATTTTCTGTGTTCACAACAATGCTTAAACCACATCAGGGGATGACTTTTGAGGTCTGGGAAAAATCTAAGAAAACATAGATTTTTGAGTGTAGCCCTTTAATTCAGTGAGCACGGCTTGCACTATTGTTTGGTTAGCAGGTTTTCTGTAGTGCAGTAAGCGCACGTGATGTGATTCGGCCTCAAATGGAATGGGTGGAGTAAAAGGCCAGCAAAACTCCGTATTATTCAGAGCCCCATGAAATTACACCATATAGACACATCTACAGACCATTCTGAGTATTCCCTACAATACTTTTACAGTGGCACCCAGAATAGTTCTTGCTCTAAGCCAATATGTATTCCATATACATTGATTCACATTGGTGGGCATTTATTTGACCTTGGAACATGTTTTAAAATCCACATTTGATGCAAATGTCAATGAAATATGAATAATTGTTAATGTTTAGACAATTTTTCATATATGATGAATGGTTCACACTTTTCTACTATTTCTTGGGCCTATTTATTTTTTATATTACGTGACCCAGAAGTACTTTTTTTAGAGTTGCTGATCATGTGATGAGTTCGCAAATCAAATACCCAGTTGTATTTATTTGTCATTAGCGCTATTAGCCCATACAAAACGCATTGAACAACAGATTCACTACATGGAACAGTCCCCCCAAAAAAAAATCTAAAGGAAGTTTGTCCTGAAGTGTCTGTCCTATATCCGAGAGATATAAGAAAGATCAGGAAACATTTGTTCATTTTTGTTACATGTATTTAACCCCTTATTTTTGGCACTAAACATTCATTTTTTCAACTGGTACCGGGGGACCTTCAGACAAGTCTTGTGAGGCCTGTGGGCATCCTAGACCAAAACAGATGTGTTTGTGAGAGTCTCAACTTTCCATAGAGGAGTCATAATAGTTTGTAGGCCAAACCATTTGGACACTACAGACAATTTTGTGAGAAGACCGATTTTCTATACGTTTTTATTTTTTCACCTTTCACCTCAGAAGCGGAAGTGCGAAATCGGCAGATGTGGTGGATTGAGATGCAGCCAATGCAACAACAAAAAAACATCTCTAGTTTAAACTGACAGATTTATATGGGGAATTTTTTATTAAGCAAATTATATTTCCGCAGGAGCACGGACATCGACTCTAGGGGGTTAAGTGTTGAGCTAGATTTCATACCGTAGCTACCTCAATCAATATTTAAAATACTTTCGATGACTTCACAGCAATTGATAGATAGCCGAAAATACAAACCCCCCTAGATACAGCCACGTCCCATAGTCACGTCATGAGATTTGTAAATGAAAGAGGAATATAATAATATGAATTGAATGGAGTTCCCCATCCTACCATTTTGAGTTTCTGGTGCAGCACAGAAATGCCCTTATCCAGACGGTGTAATAAAGGCATCTCCTAACAGACCTGCTAACTTTCTTTGTTGTCACTTATAAGGTTGGAACCAACATGCAGTAACTCCAGCAGGAAGAGGCAAGAACCATTCGTCTGCCAGCTCAGGGACAAGCTACACTATTCAAAGTCCTGTGTAATGTTCAACGTAATTGCATTGCTAGACTTTTTTGAAACGTCATGTAAAAATGTTAAAATAAAAGGAAATGTATGATTTAAACATGTCTGTAATGTTTATTTGTTAGTGATACTTCCCTAAGTGTTAAAACATTTGTGTTTAAATCATTAAGCCTTTATGTATGTGTTATGAATGACCAAAGGTGATTCATCTCAATTGGGTTGAGGTCGGGTGATTGTGGAGGCCAGGTGTTCTGATGCAGCACTCAATCACTCTCCATCTTGGTCAAATAGCCCTTACACAGCCTGGAGGTGTGTTTTGAGTCATCGTCCTGTAGAAAAACAAATGATAGTCCCACTAAGCCCAAACCAGATGGGATGGCGTATCGCTGCAGAATGCTGTGGTAACCATGCTGGTTAAGTGTGCCTTGAATTCTAAATAAATCACAGACAGTGTCACCAGCAAAGCACCCCCACACCATCACACCTCCTCCATGCTTAATGGTGGGAACCACACATGCAGAGATCATTTCACCTACTCTGCGTCTCACAAAAACACGGCGGTTAGAACCAAAAATCTCAAATTTAGACTCATCAGACCAAAGGACAGATTTCCACCGGTCTAATGTCTATTGCTCGTTTTTCTTGGCCCAAGCAAGTCTCTTCTTCTTATTGGTGTCCTTTAGTAGTGGTTTCTTTGCAGCAATTCGACCATGAAGACCTGATTCAGTCTCCTCTGAACAGTAATTGAGATGTGTCTGCTACTTGAACTCTGAAGCATTTATTTGGGCTGCAATCTGAGGTGCAGTTAATTCTAATGAACTTATCCTCTGCAGCAGAGGTAACTCTGGGTCTTCCATTCCTGTGTCAGTCCTCCTGAGAGCCAGTATCATCATAGCGCTTTCAAAGTTCTTGACATTTTCTGGATTGACTGACCTTCATGTCTTAAAGTAATGATGGACTGTCATTTCTCTTTGCTTATTTGAGCTGTTCTTGCCATAATATGGACTTTGTCTTTTACCAAATAGGGCATCTTCTGTATACCACCCCTACCTTGTCACAACACAACTGATTGGCTCAAACGCAATAAGGAAAGAAATTCCACAAATTAACTTTTAACAAGGCACACATGTTAATTGAAATTCATTCCAGGTGTCTACCTCATGAAGCTGGTAGAGAGAATGCCAAGAGTGTGCAAAGCTGTCATCAAGGCAAAGGGTGGCTACTTTGAAGAATCTCAAATATATTTTGATTTGTTTAACACTTTTTTGGTTACTACATCATTCCATGTGTTATTTCATAGTTTTGATGTCTTCACTATTATTCTACAATGTAGAAAATAGTAAAAAATAAAGAAAAATCCTGGAATGAGTAGGTGTGTCCAAACGTTGGGACTGGTACTGTATGTGTTATGCATGACTAAAGGGGTCTGACTTTAAATGAAGTACAGCGTCATGCGATAGTGTCTTTATGGATGTGTTAAGAATGACTGAAGGTGTCTCACATCAAACTAAGTAATACAGGACACTACATAAAGTGTCAATAGGTTAAAACATTCAGATGATTTATGAAGGTTCTCTCATGATCCACAGGTTACTGTAGGGTGTGAGATATTTAAAATGGGTTGATGGACCTGCAAAGCTTGCGTTTGTGTGTGTCAGAACCAAGATGATTTGTAGTAGTCCAACCAGAGACTACTGCACCAGGTATTCCTCTTCTGTTCTAATGCTGGAGACAAGGGCTTGATTACAACCTGTTACAATGGTGCTAAAATTGTGGCTGATCTTTCAGCGGGGGATTGGGTGAATGTGTCAAAGACCTAGCTGAAGAAAGACACTTTCAATTTCTTTAGGTGTGGGGGGGGCTTTCATCAAGGTAAGTGTTTCTTGGTGTTATATCGTCCCCAGGTTATTACACACACAGCACATATAAGCCTGGGATATCAGCCATTCAAAAGTGGCCTTAGTGGGAGTGACCATAGAATTCTATAGGAGTGACCTTACTGAGTAAAGTATTTGTCATCATCATTACTTAACTAGCTTAGTGGTTAAGAGCGTAGAGCCAGTAACCGAAAGGTCGCTGGTTCTAATCCCCGAGCCGACTAGGTGAAAAAAATCTGTCGATGTGCCCTTGAGCAAGGCACTTAACCCTAATTGCTCCTGTAAGTCGCTCTGGAGAAGAGCGTCTGCTAAATGACTAAAATGTAAATGTTAACAGTCAAAAAGTCATAATTATTGCTAAACCCTGCACATTTCCACAATTGATCTTCTTAAAATGTGCTTTTAAACCTAAACCTAAACCTAACTAAAGAAGGCCAAGTTTGATAAGCTTGATGTGTTGGTCCACCAGACCTTCCACACATTTGGGTGCAAGTGTCTGGCAACGAGATTAGGTGTAATGTGACTAACATGAGATCCCTTTAGAGCGTATGCCATCCTTCAGCACAACATGTCACCCTTTATAAAGCACATGTTTATATCATATTCGAGTGTGTTGTCACATTTGACACTGGTGATTATGTACCACACAATTAGGCCACATTTATAAAGCATGACATATGGTTATAGATTGTTTAACATTTATGTAGTGCTTATGAAGGACTTATGAAGCCTTTATAAGCAGAACATAATTTAAAGCAGGACCTATTCGGTCTTACATCGCTATGTAGCCTATACCGATGTGTCTTACAATCATGTGACATTTGAATTGTCCATTTTTGTATATTTCTCTACTACATATTCTCCGCTAATATACCTTGTTGAATCCCCATTCGCTAATATCTAATTAGTTAGTTGTCTGCACCTGCTACGCTTGCCACGCACAGCAGGTGTGTCTACTTACTGTAAGTGCGTTACTTTTTTTATTTGTATAGCACTGATGAAGGCATGAGGCCGAAACGTTTGCTCTTTCTTTTATTTTTGCACCGGTCACCCTTTGTATTATTTTGCACAATTAAGTACATTATTTTTGCATCTCTAACTCCTTGGGTTATTCCTTCTCATGGTTTGAGTGTGAGTACCTTTTAAACTATCTGTAGAGAGTCTCTGCCACACCCCAGGAAAGCCATTCAGACCCTGTTCTATGGTCCGAAAACTAGTTTCTGGACAAATTCAGGTGGGTCCCTCCCCATTTCATTCTGTTTGCTTCCTAGTGAATACACCCCAGATAGACAGATTGAAAGAGAGGATAGACAGACTTACATTGGTGATGTCTACAAAGGCAGTCCTCTTCTTAGGGGCTCCCTGGCCAGAGAAGAGGATGACCTCTTGACCTGGGGACCTTCCTCCTAAAACAGAGATGAGAAAATATACATTATTTGATATGAAACTATGCAATGAGACTGATAGCAACACACCATTGAGGTTAGTTAGTGCAGAACTAGTGGTTTCATTGAGAGATGAGAAGGGGTAAATTGACATGCCAATATCAGACACCCCACAATTTCATGACAGTGAGTCCATGCAATATGTCCCGGCAACACAGACTACAAATGTAGAGAAGCTGACCCCATTTAGTCGACTGGTCGGTAATGTTTGGTTGATAGGCTGTTAGTCGACCCGAGATTTCTTTAGTCGAGTCGTAGCAAATGTTTTTAGTTTTTTTATCATGGTGTACAAGACCCCTGTCTGATCTGTGCCTGTCTGAGTGGACTAATCCATTGTGGAGGCCGTGGGGATGGGCTACTGAAATTGTATATGGTTATATTACGTAAGAACAATGGTGCAAAACAAATAAAAATGATATTGTTTTATCACAAATGCACTTTCTTCTGCGTTGGATAGTGGTGGCTGTCCGCGGTTCTGAAACACATCAGTGCACTGTTGAATTGGCGCCTTTTCCTCGACCAAGTTGCTTTGTGCATAATCGCAACGTTAACCACCATATTGGTGTTGAGAACAATGTGGCGGAGGCAGCAGCAGAGTGAGGAGACAAGAAAACAGCCCTTGCGCCTTAATTGTCTAAGAAAAGTGAAGAGCGGAAACCCCAACTTAATTAGGTCTAAAATCAATAGCCTAACTTAAATGTGCCTGGCTTTTTAAATAATCTATCTATATCTACAGAAATAAGATCAATCCTGCTTCTGTTGCCTGTGAGTGTTTAATAGCCTGCTGATTCCGTGAGCACCAAGCCTCACGCAACCACAACATGTCAGATTAAAAACAGACACATTTGTGATATTGATTATCTTTGCTATGCTGTAGTAAAGGCTTTACACATATCATTTATTTATTTTTGTTTCCACTGTTCCAAATTGTCCGAAAATTTATATCATAATAACCCTCGTTTTTCCTTGATCTCCTTATTGTTATTATTACTATTATTATGATAATCATTATAATAAGTGATGTCTTTATCATTAGTAGGCTTAGTATAGCTGCCTTGTATAACCACCATCGAGCTGTAGGACAAAGAGCGCATCCTTTTTAGTCTTAATCCCGTAACTTACTTAGGCCTATATTTCATTACTTATATAGGCTAGTGTATCAATCAATCATTTGTTCATGTCATCACACAGCATGAGTCATTCATGATTTGAAATGCAACCAAGCATTTTAGTTTTAAAATAAAATAAAGCGATCCTTGAATAATTCACGTAAACAATAAATACATCTTTCCATTTCGGAAATTGCATTCACGAATGAATGCGGCTATTTTTAGTCTTTGCTGTAATAAAGGCATAACATTTTTTTTACAACAGACTCTCTGGTACGCGTATAATTTATTTAATGTTTTTTACATTGTTCGAAACAGTCAGAAGAATTCAATTGTAATCTAACAGCACCTGTTTGGCACACATAATATGCACGCAGCGCTTGCTCCTTACCTTCTTTTTCTTGATCTCCAGTATTTTCCACAACTAGTCAAATGTATTTCACACATCTGACTTCCCCTTTACCTCATGAGCAACCAGTAAACATTCCCCCATTTTGAGTTCATTTGTCACGTCTTCAGTATCCATTTTGCTGTTACGGTGTTCAGAGTTTATGACCTATTTATTGATGTGATTATGATATGCTATTGGTCAGGACCTATTGGTCACGTGCATGCAATGCATACATGTGTCACGTAAAGAGAGCAAGGGTTAAGGGAACAGGGAATGTTTTTCCTAAACAAATGAGGGATTTCGGTAACATAACTTTTCTGTCAGAAATGGCTGTAATTATGTTGCAGCTTCATCAACACTGACAGCGCGATAAACACTGTTGATGTTCTGTGGTCGCTGCAGCAGGGAGGAGAGAGAACAGGTGCTAGTCAAACAGTTACTAGCTGTCTTTTTTTTTTTAAACACAGCGCCGCAAGTCTCCGGCCCGGCACAATCAAATAAATTGCGGTCGGACTCCCTCTACTCATTTGTATGTTTTCATTATTTCATCAAACAGTGCGCTTAAAGCATCAGACAAGAGCAGTGCATATAGTTGATTTGATTAAAACACATAGGATGTTTCTATATATGGGAAAATACATGTGTTAACATTTCCACCAATCGATTGGTTGAAAGAACAGATGACTGTTGGTCGGCCAAGATTTATTTTAGTCAGGGACAGACCTAAAATGTAGCTCCCTAGGTAAACACAATAAATTAATGTAACTGTGCCATGATGAGAAATCTTGGGACTGGATGGCTACAGATTGTAACACCAGATAATGAGAATTAACCAAACATTTTTGGTATCCATTATGCTGGGAGTTACAGGATTGGTACTGTTTGGTGTTACACAGAATTTGACCAACCTTAACAATACAGTCTTTGCCCTCGATTTGTGGAAACAGGAGTCTCATAAAACATATTTGCTACACCAAACAGTGCTTAACCTGTAACTCCCAGTATAATGATACCAAAAATGTTTAGTGAAATCACATTGTCTGGTGTTAATCTGTAACTAAGGACTGGACTGGTTACAAAGCTAACTAAATAGCTAGCCCAGCACGATGAAAAGTAGTTAAATGGCCAAAACCGAGGTGACCACCCCTACTCCTGGAGAGCCACCTAGACAGATACTAGGTGTTTGCACGCGTTTGCTCCAGCCCTAGTAAAACACCATCCCTAATCCAAGGACAACGTTTAAAGCAGGTGTTAGTCAAATTACCTGATTTGCCGTCCCTTTGCCAAGTAGCTTGGGTATTTTACTGCCAACAGTGACACTAGGTGTCTTCCCCCTTGGAAAACGCATGACTGCAACTTGGAGTTTTCACCAAATGGTTGTAGACAGGAATGTTAGTTAGTTAAGTGGTTGTATCCTGCAAGAGATAACATTAAATAGACGTGCGCTTAGAAAAATAACGTGAAGGCGTGTTTTTTTTATTTATTTTTATCTTCAAAGCATTCATAAACTCTTGTAAACTGGCAATTATATTAGTGTATTAACTGTTATAAGCTGAATAACGTTGGTTAGCTTGCTTGCTAACTAAACGTTACTGCAAAAGGTTATGCACCAACTATGAAAATGTATGCACTCACTAACTGTAAGTCGCTCTGGATAAGAGCATCTGCTAAATGACTAAAAATGTCAACAACAAAAAAGTCAACTACACGTGAATTCGACTGGCTAGCACGATATCTAGCAAACAAACTAACTTCTAGCCTAGCTACATCAATGCAATTAGATCTTACTTATCGTATCGACTTTCCGTGATGTCAAAGTTGCAACGTTTCTGAGCGAAAAATACAACATGGAATCTGTTAATTCATGAAAAAGCAACAACATTTAATTGTTCAGAAGGCGAGCTAAACAAAAGTGCAAGCAGACTGCAGCCAAACACTTGCGGACGACTCTGATTGGTTTAAATTCGTCGCTAGTTAGCCTATCAGCGCTTGGCTACCATGCTCTTGTTAGCATTTAGAATTTTCAAACTTCTTAGCAACCAATGGGAGCTTGCTGGTGTTTGTTGATGTTTTTTAGTTCTCACACGAAATTCGGTAGCTAGTAGTAAACCGTACCCTGTTGCAGTTTCCTGCAGGCAGCGTTTGTGACAGTTCTGCACAACACGTTTTGCCATAGGACTGTACTGTCTTTGGTTTTGCTTTCTTTCACAAGATCAGGGCCATGTTTAGTTGCAAAACGTTCTTGAACGTTGCAGATAGAAAACCATGAATAGAGCCAAAGTGATTCCGTATTCTAAATGTCGGAGAGGCATGTTTGTTCTACATAGCATATTTCTAAAAATATTATTTTAATTAACATAAATATGTATATAATGACAAGATGCTCATGTCTCCGCCCTAACAATCGGAGTCGTTGTCCCAAAGGTGGGAAGGTAGCACAAGCTTAGGTCCAAAATAAACGCATTGAGCTTATTTTGTCGAGAGTTCCCCTCTGATTTTAACCACAGAGTTTCTAAACCCAGAGGGACAAAATCGCGAGACTTCCGGGAAGGCTTGCGAAACAGATCAAGCAGACTAGGCCGGGGTTTGAGAAGTCAAGATTTTATAAAAATCTAAAGGCACAACCTAGATTCGAGCCAATGTCTTAAGTAGTTGAACATGTTATTACCATAACCTCGTCAAAGTGACAAACTGACACGTTTCCATGTTCTTCAAAAACTACTTTATATCGAAAGACTTCCTTTGATTTGACGGCCTACACATGCGCAGTTCGGCGCGAGACGACAGTTAGACCCAATGACGTGTTTCTGTGCAGGAGTTTAGCTAGCCAATGTCACCATGACATCGCCAACAACAAGCATTACCTGGTGATTTTGCCAACACAGCCAGATATTTACCTACACAGTCTTGTACCCTTAACCTTTTTTAAACTGACTGTCATATTTGTTGATTAAATCGGACTTTATTAGTGTAATGAGTAATCCAGGAATGTCATGAGTTAAACTCGAAATTACTTCGGACAAGCTCCTCCTCCTCACCGCTCTATTGGAAAAGCAGTTTCTGCATATCTTCATACTGTACTGTCTTTGTTTTAACCTATGAAACCTATGAAACCGTTTCACCATTGAACAGTTTTCATTTATGTGAGTGCGATTTGCAGGAGGTACATTCTACATGAGGTTAGCAAGCTAGTTTGAGCTTTTTTACAAAGGGCAAAAAGTTCACCCCAATCTTTTTTTTTTTTTTTTACTGTTGAAACACTGCTATTTGAAAGTCAAATTCATATGGTTGTGTTACAAAAAGTCCCTAGGATTATTTTAACAAATTGGCAGGCCTAGTCCTATTTTCATGTGCTAGAATTATATTGCATTAGAAAGAAAGGGTAACAAATTACACCACTCTCTATAACCCTTTGACATTTTAATATCTCTCTCTCACTCTCTCTCATATCTCCCTCTC